GGGAGAAAAAGAAACATAAATAAAAAGTTTTTTTTTAAAGTATGCCAACCTCATTCATATATATATGAATATATATGTGAATCTGTATGTATATGTATGTATACATATATATACATATGAATATATGTGCAAATATGTATGTGTCTGAGAGAAGAGTGAAGGATTGGAGGTAAAAAGAATAGAGCAAATACAAAGAAAAAACTATTTGAAAAACAACGAACTAAACAATTTTCTCTAATTGGCTAAATACCATGGATGACTCACAATCTAAGGCACTCAAGGAACCTCAACTACCATAAACAATAATGTCATGTCAAGTCACAACAGACTGATAAGTCATTACAAGGAAAACAGATGGGCATATTAAGGGTAAGTGGAAAAAAAGGTGGGGCTTTTAACTGAGCAGGGAGGATAATACAGAAGAGGGCAGAGGGAGCACTAAATAACACGAAGGATGGTAACAAAATATTTACAAAATTAAATGAAAGGGGTGGCCGGGGCTTGTCTCAGTGGTTCGGGGCACTTGGTGCTCTTAAGAAGACTGGGTTCAATTCCCAGCACCCACATGGCAGCTCACAATCATCCATAACTCCAGTCCTAGGGGATCCAAAACCCTGTTCTTCTGTTGGCGGACAACAGGCATGGACATGGTGCAAACAGATATGCAGGCAAAACACTCATATGCAGGTAGAAGAGATACTGTGTGCATACCGCAAAGGATGAGAAGATACAGATGACCGACACTCGGTTGTATGTGAGGTAGTATGTTGCTGTTATTAGTTAAAAACAGGCCATTTTCAAGAGCTGTGCTTTCAATCCTAGGTCAACCTCTAAACAACAAAATGAGGAAATACGGCTATAAAAGCCATCACAATTAATCCTTGCTGTCAGGCTCACAGAATTTGCTACAAGCAAAGAAACATATCTCTAGGCGTCTGCATGAAGATCCCGTGAGCCGGGGCTCTGGGCGAAGCATGAGGAAGAAGGCAGGCTTCTTTGGACAGCAGCAGTCACTGTTCTCTGCTTCCTGGCTGCCTCAGGCTTCTGCTACCATGTCTTCCCTACCATGACGGGACTGTGTCCTCAGACTGGGAGCCAAAACAAAACCTTCCTTACATGACTTCTGTCAGGTATACACCAGGAGCAAGGCCAATAGCTCACATCTGTAGTCCCGATACGGGGAGGCTACAGCAGAAGGACTACCAAGTCTGACAATAGATAGCGCTATGTAACAAGTTCCAGACCAGCCAGGGCTACATAACATTCCCCTATCTTGACATAAAATAAAAATAAAATAAAATGATTAAATTAAGCCAAATAGAGCCCCTAAAGCCATTGACATATTAAAAATACCAGGGCCAACAGGACTTGTACATAAATCAACAGCAGCAAAGATCAGTGTAAAAAACCAAACAAACAAAGGTGAGGTCAAAGTGCTACTACGCTGCAGTGAGCACAAGACTCCTGAAAGCATCTTGATGGAGAGCGAGGAGCTGCTGTCTACTTAAGAAGATCTAAGAGGCAGACGACAGACTGAAGCAGAGTCTAGTCACATTAGCAGCTAAGGCAGAAAACAGCATGCTAATAAAAATGAGGACAGGCTAGTGAATAAATGACACTGACAGCAGAGTAAAGTCGACGCCACAAGTAAACGGCATTGTAAAAACCACTGCAGCTCAACAGCAGGATGTCTAGTTGTCACATTAATTGTTAACAGATTTAGAGAGCATTTTACCTATTTCACTATGGCTAATGTGACGTTTTGCAATTGGACAACTTAAATTTTTTCATTTTATGGATAGCATTTTAATGAGGACCTTATCATTTCACACACAAAACAAGGCTCAGTTGGATTTTAAAAACTATCTCCAAGGAAATTTGGTGGAAGATAGCGATTCCCAAAAAATGAATACTTATTTCTGGATTTCTTAATATTGAGTCTCTCTCTGGTCCATGGCACTCACTGTCCTAGTTAGCTTTCATTACCAACCTGATGCAGCCTCCAGTCACCTGAGACGGAGGGCTCCACCGAGGAACTGCCTGAATGAGAGTGGCTTGTGCGGATGTCTCTGGGGTGCTGCCCTGACTGTCACCTGAAGTGGGAGGACCCAGCCCACTGGGGGTAGCACCACTCGCCGGGCAGGTGGTCCTGAGCTGTGTAAGACACCTCGTTAAGTGAGGATCTGCCAGGGAATCACCAAGCAGCACTCTTCCACCTCCTGGCTGTGAATGTGTTTCCTGGTTCCTATGTGCTGAGTTAGCAAGCAGGCTTGTCAACAAGTTCCTGTCCTGACTTTCCTCAGTGATGGAATGGGACCTGGAAATGTGAGCCAAATAAATTCCTTTCCCCAGAGAAACTTTTGGGCAGACTGGTTTTTTGTTTGTTTGTTTTAATCATAGAACAGAAAGGAAACTACAAATATTCACACAGTATAAGAGGAAGAGAAAATAATTCAAAATCATCACTCAAGTGGAAGTAAAATTGTAATGGAGTTTATGACCTGCCAAAAATATCTTTTCTTTTTTTCCATCATTCTATAACATCAAAAAGATGGGTAGAAAGATTCAAAGAATCTGGAATCCATCTGCTATATCCCTTCGGGATGTTTGTTCACCCCTTAAACAAAATCATTTCCTCTGGATCTGGTCCACATTTCTTAACAGTATTTTTTTTTTTTTTTTTTTTTTTACCTACTAGTTACAAATTGAGTCCCATATGGAAAACATCAAAACAGAAACTGAATTGCTATCTCCAAATAAATAAATAAACACCAGGGGGCTGGAGAGATGGCTCAGAGGTTAAGAGCACTGGTTGTTCTTCCAGAGGTCCTGAGTTCAATTCCCGTCAACCACATAGATTGAGATTTGGTACCCTCTTCTGGCTTGCACGCATACATTCAGGCAGAATACTGCATACATAATAAATAAATAAATCTTTAAAAAAAATAAATAAAATAAATAAACACCAAAGCAAAGATCTTTGAAAAGCTCTGAGAAAGGTGATTTTTCCATAGGCTTTAAAAAAATTAATTTTCTTATTTTTTTTGAGATTATAGTTATATCATCTCCCCACCTTTTCCTCTTTCCAAGCCCTCCCATGTACCCCTTTCAAATTCATGCTTTTGTTCTTCAACTGCTGTTACACACATGCACACACACACACTGCTCAGTCTGCACAATGTTACTTGTATGTATAGATGGTTGGAGATGACCATTTGGGCTGGGTACCAGTTAAGTGTGCCCTTCCCTGGGAAAGACTATTTCTCCCTCTCTCACAATTCCTTAGTTGGCTGTACTTCCTAACCCAGGGTTAAGGTCTTCTGCGCTTCCCTCCATGGCTACCTAAAAGTGACTTGAATGAGGACTACACCAATAGTCACAGCCAGGAGGTGTTAGTTGCTTTTATATGACTCAACACCAGGGGGCACCAAACTTCACCAATGGAGCTGCACATGCAGCAGGTCTTGTTTAAAGCTATGGTGGAGTAAAGAAGCCACTCCTCTACTTAAAAGTCTGCAAGGGCCTTTAACCCCCTACAATAGGGGGTTAACAGCCGTGCCCAGTGTCCACAGCTCTACATCCCTTTTTCCTGGTATACTTATATTCTACCAACCCTGTCTTTCACATCTACAAGTTGCAAATAAACACTACAGATCTGACACTTTAGGTAACTAGCATATTACCTTCCTCTTTAAATAAATAGTGGGTGCATTTCCATGTTGGAAGATGCAGCTCAATGGTTCCTTTTCTATAAAGTAGCCTTTCCAGACAGCACCACTTCCAACAGAAATCAAGCCTTTGCACAACACTTGGCTGAGATATCATCGCTTCCCTCTACTGGCCCCGGCTGTTTCCTTCCAACCTACCTTTGAGCTCCTTCAGTTCAAGATTCTGGGCACAATTCCAAAACAGAATTCTTTGCTAACTTAATACATTGTAAGACTTTTTTTTTTTTTAAATAGTAAGTGGTGTGCTGGCTGGTTTTATATCAACTTGAAACAAGCTAGTGTCGTTTGGGAAGAGGTACTCTCAATTCAGAAAGTACCTCCATAAGACTAGCCTGTAGTGAAGTCTATCATACTTTTCCATGACTGACCTGGGAGGTCCAGCGCACTGGGGGTGGTGCTTCCGCTAGGCTGCTCAAGCCATGAGGAGCAAGACTCCTCCATAAAGCTCCTCCATAGCCCCTGCTTTAGTCCCTGCCTTTAGGATCCTGCCTTGAGTTCCTGCCCTGACTTCCCTCGGTGATGGAATGTGACCTGAGAACTATAAGATGAAATAAAACACATCATCCATTTACTCAATGATGAACACAGGCTGGGTTCACGTGCTGCTTATTCCAAATGATGCTGCAATGAACACGGCAGAGTACAGCTTCCACATAATCAAGTGTCTGGGATATATACTCTCGGGAGAGGGGACTTGATCATATTTTAATTCAATTTTTCATCTTCTAAGGAACCTCCAAATATGTTCTTTATGATGTCTGTACTAATTCACATTTCCATTAACTGTATAAATGTTCTCTTCTCTCTTTGAAGAGCTAAACACTATTGTTTTTTGGTAATACCACAGGCCAGTATTGCTTTGTTTTTCTTGTATGTACTATATAAATATACCTATATATATATACACACACACATAGATATGTATGCTTTTGTGTGCTTGTCCATGGAGGCCCAGGTAGGTAGGTATCCATAATCATCCTTGATCACTACCCTACTCTATTCACTTAAGCAGGGCCTCAAGCAAACCCGGAGCTGGATGCTCTGGGTACTCTTCCTAGGCAGAGTGCTCTGGGGCTCTCTTGGTGGGAATGCCACACCCAGACAACACTCACATGGGTTTCTGGGGATCCAAAGTTTGTCCTCAGGCTTGCACAGCGAGGGCTCTAATTTCTGAATCACTTCCCTAGCCTCCTTTCCCACTGTTTTGTTTGTTTGTTTTTGGTGTATATGTATAACGTTTTTTGGTTCAAAAGTGTAATTCAACCATCTCACCTTGATTATTTCCACCAACTGATCCACACCACTGTCCCCAGGAAATATTGGTTGTCCTAGCAACAACTCAGCCAACACACAGCCTGCAGACCACACATCTGAAGAAAAAAACAAAAGGTTTGTAACACTATAATCTGAGGTGAAATGTACATTTTATTTCAATCACATAGTATTGATTATATCCAAATACGAAAATAATTTAGTCAAAAATCAGTGATGGTCTCATTCCAAATATTGTTAAAATTTTTCATAAAAGTATTCATATAATTGAACCCTTTTTTATTTTTTAGTATTTTTATAAGTATTCATCTTTTATAAATATATTTTGTGTATGAGAGAAAGAGTCAGACACAGAGACACAGACATAGAGACAGAGACTGACTCACTATGTAGCCCTGGGTTGGCTGGAATTCACAAGAGATCTGCCAGCCTCTGCTCCCTGTATACTGGGTCTAAAGGCGTGTATGCCACCACCCAACTCTTATAAATCTCACATAGCAGTAAGAAGCAAGGTTACAGATATAGCTCATCCATGAAAAAGACTTACTGCTCTTGCAGAGAACCTAGTACAAGTCCCAGCACCCACATGATGGCTCACAACCATCCTAAGAGATTCGACACCCTCTTTTGAGCTCCTCAGGGATGAAGTATGCATGTGACATGCATACATACATGTAGGCAAAACACTTAACACACATAAAACAAATTTAAAGAAAATTAAAAAGCAAGCATCTTAGATCCAAAAATGGGACAAATCCATGTTTTCTATAATGTATCAGAAGATTTGGTTGTGACTATTTTAGAATCAAACTGTCTGTATTTTTCTATTTTAGCTGACCCTGGCACAACTCAATCCAGTATCTTGTCTGTATGTGTGTATGTATGTATGTATACACACACATACACTAAATGTATACCAAACAAATAAAACACTAACCAATTATAATATCCAATGCCATTACCAAGGAAAGGGCTGAAGTTTTGCTCTTGGAGACAGCTGAGTTAATAAACATACTAAGAATGTCACCTTTCATTCCTATAGCACTTCAGCAACATTTTATCTCACTCCGCAGAGCAACTATGAAGAGCAGGCATGATGCCCACTCTACAGGTCAGAATTCAGTTACAAGCCCCGACACTGACTGGGGAGAACCATCTTGGCAGTCCTTCTCACTGGTGCGCTCACATACGCCACTACAGCCACGGAAAGACACAGCACCTCACACACTACACTTTTACCTCTTGGAAGCAGATTTCCTTAACTGTGGGCTGGAGAGCCCTCGGTGTTCTGGGCATTTTCAGAGGTCCCAGAGAGTAAAGCTACTTCCACAAAGCGTAAACAAAGTGTAAACACTGTCAGGAATGCTAACAGAATGACCTGATGTGTAAAAGCATCAGCCTCTTGGCATGAATGAAAAAAATGCTTTGGCATATTGCCCTTTCTGAAAATAAAAAGAATAATGTGCTTCTGTTCATATCAGGACAAAAATAATGTACTAAATTAGCCGCACACCCCATTACTATGGGTTTTTTTTCCCCCTAGGCGGGAAGGGGGCAGTATAATATGTACGCTTTCATTTTTATTTAGGACTGAAGAGTTCTTGTCAGAAACAACACATGAGGGGCTCGGAAGGTGGCTTTCGGGAAAGAGCTTCCTCACAGGCATCAGGACCTGAGTCTGATGTCCAGCCTCAAGTACAGGCATCAGGATAAGGATGAGCCTGCAACCCAACACTAGAGGACAAAGATGAGGTGAGGACAAGGATGCTCTCTCAGACTTACCAATCAGCCAGTCTAGCCAAATCAGTGAGGTCCAGGGTCATTAAAAGACCCTGTCTCAAAAAATATAGTGGAGAGTCATAGAGGAAGGCACCTTGATGTCAACCTCAGCTCCTCACCCCACACACAATTAAGATATGAAATAAAGTAATTGTCTCTTATCAAAACCTAGCCTAAGCTTTTATCTCGCTATTCAGACCCAGCAGGCCATGTCTTTGTGCTGACACAGCAATTGTACTAGAGCAGATAAGAAGACCAGGTCAACAAAGACTTCAGCTGTCTCTAATCTTTCCATCATTAGACATCTCCTGTGAAGCTTTCAAACAACAAGTGGGTTTAGATGAACAACTAATGAATTAAGTTGACCAAAAATTAAGTGATGGATCATGACGGCAGTTCAAAAAATAGTACTGCTCTATCAATTACAGTATTACATTTTAAAAGTAACATTACTAATTAACAAATTCTCTAAGTAGAGATTAGCTCAGAATAAATATTTCAGGAGAACTAGAAAACTAACACAGAACCCTTGAGATAGCTCAGCAGATAAAAATTGTTTCAGTGCAAGCCTGATGACATAAGTGTAAACCACAGAACCTACAGAAGGGTGGAAGGAGGTGACAGTCTCCAGAAAGCTGTCCTCTGACCTTCACATGCACACCATGCCACAGGTCTTCCTCTCATGCATCTCAATTTTTTTTTAAAGTTATAGTACTTACACTTTATTTGAATCTTTAGGGCCAAAACAAAATACATTAAGCATCTACAAATGTAAAATAATACTTTTCTAATTATACTAAAACGCACACCACAAAGTATAATGTAAACTCTAAAAGGTGGAAAAAATTAATTCTCTTTATTTCTGCAAAAGTGTATCACAGGCATGTCGTTTGCACACTGCAGAAATGATAAGTACAGGGTAGAGTAACCAGTCCCAAGCACTGTACTCAGGTGCAGTACTTACCGATACTAGACGTGTAATCAGTGGCTCCAAAGATCAACTCTGGTGCCCTATAGTACCGAGAACAGATATATGAAACATTGGGCTCTCCTCGGACCAGCTGCTTTGCACTGATGAAAAAATAAAAACAAAAAGCAATCTTTAAATCTATACCATAGGGAAACAAATACTCTTACATTCACACACCTCATGTTTATCTAAACTTCATAAGACTGCAATAATGCAACACACTTTAACTGTTTCCAACAAAAGACATACACAATTTTATCAATTTGACATGAAAAAAGCGGTTTTTAAAATGAGCATTTGTCAAGAGTTACCTAAGGAACAAAGATGAAAAATTACAAAAGGATACATATGTTGGTTTTTTTTTTTTTTCTAGTTTTCTGTCTCCTAAATTCTACTTCTGAACTGTAAAAATGACTGACAGACATGGTGGCATCCACCTTTAATTCCAGCATTCGAGATGCAGAGACAGATGAGACTCTGTAAGGTGAACGCCAGCCTGTTTTGCAGTGAGAGTTCTAGGTCAGCCAGGGCTACCCAGTGATACTCTGTCTCAAAAATAATAAATTAAATAAAGTGTAAGGATAAAGGAAAGGAAGTTAAAAAGTAGCCTAAAAAGTGAATAAATTAATACTCCTCACCTACACACCTTAAAGGAGGGGCGGAACTGGCCAAGAAACTGTTAAATTTGGATTTCTGGCTCAGGTTATGTAAGCCATGATGCATTCTGTGTAAACCTCAGTATGCATCCACATTCTAGTCAATTTACTGTATTACTAAACAAACTGCAAAATGCATTCAACTTTAAGGGAAAAAACATCACTCAGAACTGATCAACTCTGTCTGTGCGGTGCTAAGCTTATAGAGTATCAAAACTTTCCTCCTAAAGTTTTTACAGTATACATATTAAGATGAATCACAGTTAATATTTCTTAAGTCTCTCAAGATAACTCCATCCCAAGTAAGCAGGCCACTCTAGGAGCTCTTCCCACAGTAGTAGCAGACACAGGAAATAAAAACATGCAACACAATCCAACAGAAAAAAAAAAGAAAAAGATAGAAACTCTAGGGTAAAGGTACAGGAGGCAGAGATGCAGACAGGTGAAAATGGTTGTGCAATCTTAAAGTCTAGGTTTCCTTCCCCCTTGATTTACTTTTAGTCAATGATAACTCTAAACTTAATTTGTGTTCCCTTCATTTCCAGTTTAAAAATTTAACCTTCTTGGGCCCACATAAAACAACCATTTGATATATTTACAAAAGTAAGGTTTCAAACTGTTAGAAAAATCAAGAAACTTGATTAGCTTTCAGCCCACTTGATGATAGTGTTTTCTATTTTCAGAAGTGCATTTTGGGGGCTTGGGATAATGTTCCTTGACAAAGCAGCCGCCTAGGATGTGGAGTTGAAGTTCCAGTTCCCAAACAAACAAAGAGCAGGACATGGTGGCCCACTACTTAAGTCTCAGCACTCTAACTGGAGGCAGAGGCAATGAGTTTCTAGGACAGTCAGGGCTACATAGAGAAACCCTGTCTCAAACACAAAACAAACAAGGTACATTTTTAATGGAGAAAACAGTCTTAAAACAGAAATTTCACAATAAGTGAAAACTACATAACCACAAGCTTTCACAGCCTGTATGCTCTACCCTCATTACCGATGAAGCTGCCTTTTTGCTTTGCAGGTAAAAAGTTCTGAGTCTCTGCCTTGTGGTCTCAGCTAATTTGGTCCTTAGGCACCCCATCTAGCCTTTCAGCTACTGCCAGACCCTGTTTCACCTAGTTAAAAACTGATGAGAGAATAAGACTTTTGTTATGTTTCTGCACCCTAGTACCTAAGCGCATGAAGTGTCCTACCTCAGAGTTGTTAAGAATGAGCTATTTTCGCACCTGTGAAAGCTCCCTTTCAAATTTATTAGAACAAAGCTACTTTACATCCCAAAGAATCCCAGTGCTGGCATGCTCTGTCATGGTGCTGAGGACAGAAACCCTGCTGCATTCCGTGGCGCTTACTTGGCAATTACTCCCCACAGTAAGAAAACCCATCTGATTTCATACATGCAATAGGCAGCAGTGCCTCATTTCTCCTTTCAAATAAAAGCTTCAGGGGCACAGATTCGCCAGACCCACAGCCCACAAGGTGAGCGACCCCCGGGATAGGCCTGCGATTAGGAACTGTAAAACAGCACTGGTCTCCGAGGACACGCAGGGTGGGACCAAGTGAACTTACTGGCAGTACCCCACACCTGGGGGAAACATGGCTGCTGTGAAACCCCACAATTTAATCTGCAGTGTAGCGCAGAAGTCTATATAAAGAGGCAGGAATACAGATATCAGCAGGTATGAGTCACTGTATAATCTGTGGTGATAAACTGAAAAAGAAGAATTTCCAACAAGGATGAAGAAACATTAGGCTGGAGAGAATCAAGGTGTAAAGACAAATGGCTCAGAGCAAAGAGAGAAGAGTTACCACAGGTGGCTGTGGCAGAATGGAAGAAGGAGTATGAGGAGGAGCTGTCCTGTGGGGGTACAAGCTTGACTGCATGTTGGGAGGCTTATACCACTGACTACAGAAAGAGAAAGCACAAGGTTTTTTACTACTAAGTAACGGTGTATGAGCAAGAAATCGGTTTTACAAAGCAAACTTGTTAAAATATGCAAAAAGGGAGAAAGAATACAAGTTTAAATAATAGAGAAAAATACTGCTTCTCAGGATTTTATCTCACTCCTGAAATGAAGTTAAGTGTAAAGTTAAAATACGCACATAAATGCATAGTAACAATTTATTTGTAATGAAAATGGTGCATATATACACATTACATAAACACAAGCAGTACCAAAAAACAATCAATGAGAATGCAAGTTTCCCAAGCACATAATAATCCCAACGTTGGGTCCCAGGTAATCATGTATGAGATATTACACAGTGATTCAGAAATAAGCCATGTTTATGCATGCACTTGTTTGTATGCGAACAGTCACACCAGTGATTACAAACAAAAGCATACCATGCATACAGTACTGACTTGGCAGCAGCTTTCTTTTTGCACAGGGTCTCACTACATGGCTTAGCTCAGCCTCAAACTAATCATCCCCCACATTTAGTCTACTGAGCCCTTGAATTATCAGTAGTGTCACCACAGCCATCAAGCTGAAATGTTAGCACTCTGGCACTCCTGTGGAGGTCAATGGACAACTTGCAGAACCAAGTAAGTCCCAGGGATCAAAACACAATCAGCCTTGATAGCAAGTGCCTTGCCCAACTAAGCCCTCTCGCCTGCCCCTGCCTCTTCTCAGTTAGTACTTCCTAGACATCATTCTCTGCCAGATCGGACAGCTCTCATTTTCTCCCTCAGCGGCACATAAACAGTGTTCATATAGATCATAATTTATTTGGACATTTTATTGCTATTAGATATTTATAAACAATGCTATACTAAAAAAAAAAAATCTCTAAACATGTACATGGCAATATTCCTCAGAAGTTAACTGTAGGATGAAAGGTACACATTTATTATTCTGATAAACATTATCAAAGCATCCTTACAAGGAGCTCCATTAGTTTATAGTGTCTGAGTGAAGGATTACAGGGCTTAGACTACCATTGTTCATTATCAATCATTATCAATCCATTTCACAGAGCATGAGGAAAGGGGGGCATGAAGGAAGGGAAGTGAGTAAGAAAACTAGCTCACCTTCCAAAGTCACAGAGTTTTAATACAGCTGTATCAGGATCCAACAAGAGGTTCTGTGGTTTAATATCTCGATGGCAGATTCCAAAGGAATGGATATAGGCTAAACTTCTGAACAGCTGATACATATACAACTGGAATAAAGAACAGGCATTAATTCAATACTTCTGGTTTCAAACATATCTGAATCATGCAGTAAATAACATTTCCAGCAAAGCGTGTAAAGTGTTGATGACTATTAGTACAGTTTTCCCTAAACAAGTTTCATGTTATTTCTATTTAAGTTAGGAAATTAAGGTATCACAAAGCATGTATTTGTGCTATCCTTTAGTAATTTACAAAAGCATCCAGGCGTGGGACGTGGCAGCATACAACTGAGTCAGGGGGATTCCAAATTCAAAGCCCAGTTATGGCGGCACACAACAGAGGCAGGAAAATTCTCTGTTTAAGGCCTCCCTGGGCAACACCTCAGCTGCGACAGGGCTCGGGGACGGGACAGGGCTAAGGAGTAGAACACTTGCCTACACGCATAGTCCTGGGCTCCATCACCTTCACCCACTTCACTCCAGCCAGCTGGATAGATTTTTTTCACTTGACACAGATGCAGAGCTCAGGAGCTAGGCTAATTATTCTTCCTAGGGTCTTGGCTATAGAAGCATAGTCACTGTCACTTTTAGAATCATTTATTTTTCTGAAATGTTAGCCCCCAAAATCATTGACAGAGGCCTAGGAAAACTCACAGGTACAGTAAGAAATCTAATTAATTGCCTATTGAGACAGCAGTAACTCTGCTGGTAAGTAGTATTAATATACTTTAATATCCTCAGAACAATGTAGACTTCCAATGTCACTGAAAGACAGATGCCTAGGAAGATCTCTGAGTTCAAGTATCACTTGGTCTACAAAGTGAGTTCCAGGACAGCTAGAGTTAAACAGAAAAGCCCTGTTTCAAAATACACAGACACACGGCTGCCTCACTACTGACACCACTGTGACAGTAAATTGTAGTTGACAGTACTTCAAACAGCCATGAAAACAGATTTGGCCATGTCTTTAAGGGCGTTTCTAGACTGAGAAGAGAAAACCCATCCTAAACATGGGCCGCACTGTTCAATGGGCTAGGTCCCTGGACTCAATGAAAGAAAGAGAGCTCATGCACCATATCCTCTCTGGATGTGGCCAGCTGCCCGATGCTCCCTCACCATGCCTTCCCTCCCATGATGCTCTGCGTCCTCTACAATGACTGAGCCAAAAATAGACCCTTCCTTCCTTGAGTTGCCTTTGCCTGGAATTTTGTCAGAGCAAGCCTGGCCTTGATTGTGTCATCTTCCTGTCTTACTCCAAAGTGTTAAGATTATAGACATGTGCCACCTTATCCAGCCTGACTCACTTTAAATTGTTTCTGAGCTCTACTCCCCAGTTAGTAGCATGGAAATAATTTCTGTAATGATTCAAATAAAAAAATGCTATTGTCTAATAAAAAATAAAAAGATACTATCTTTTTAGACTATATTGCTAAGGACGGGCATTATTTAAGCTAACATGAAGTCTACTTTCCTTCAGAGGTGTGAGGAAAACTGCTAAGCTGGACATGTTAGCAGTACATGATTAAAGTTAATTTAAAACAAGCTACAACAGTTAAAGCCTTCTTCAAAGTGAAGCATGACAAAAATGTGTACATAAGATCTTCAATGTCAGCATTTTGGATTAAATGAGAAGTAAAGCATTTAGGTAGCTATTAATCTTTATAAAAGGCTTTGTGATTCTATTATTGTATCACTGTTCATTTATAGAATCAATTTGTAAGTTCTAAAGCTTACTCTAGGAGCGTAACTCATTACCACCAACAAATGATCTATAACCAAGTGACTTCATAAGCATCAATTTACCAAAGCAAAGAGTCAACTGTTTCACAATATTAATATTTAGATTAACAAGTCAAAGAAGTTTTCTCTCCCCCCACCAAAAAAATGTTTATAGTTAATCTAAAGATATCTCCTCTATTGCTGTTCTTTTCATTTTGCTTTTAAAAGTTAAGTTTAATAATGAAATGAGATTTGCATATTTTTTGCTTTGTTCTTCTTTGTAAAATTGCACTTATATGAAAGTTGAAAGACTTCCTGCACTACAGTGAGCAAAAGAAAACAGCAGCAAAAACAACTCTGTATGCTAGACACCATCCCAAGGCTACACACATGATTTCACTTAATCCTTACAATAACTTCATGTAAACATTTCTCATTACTCATTTAAATACAAAGTAGAAGTAGCAGGAAAGAGTAGCTTGGCCGATATCACCTTGTAATACTTTACAATGGTCTGGGTAATTGATTAGTCCTCTTTTAGCTATAATATCTTTATTTTGCCAAATTAAAAGGTTTCGTTTAGGTTTATCTTATTTGTATGATTGGTTTGCCTGTATAATGGTACACATACATACATACATACATACATACATACATACAAACAAACCACTCATAAAATAAAGTATCTTTGCTGGTTTGTGGTGGTGCAAATCTCCCAGCCCTCAGTAAGGCAGGCAGTTATCTGAGTTCAAGGCTAGCCTAATCTACACAGTAAGACCATGTCTTAGGGAGGGCGGCAGGAGAAAGAAAAGGAAGGAAAAATGAAGAAAGACAGACAGGAAAGCAGGCAGGTGAAAGGAGAAAGGAAGAAGAAATAAGACTGATTCCTAAACCTGAATTGATTCCTAAATATGAGGCTGCATATAATTCAGTAGTGGGGGCGCTTGCCTACATATAAAGGCCCTAGGTTCAATCCCTTATTATTGCCAGGAGAAAAAAAAGCCAAAATAACAAAGGCTATTTGATATATAGCAGATTTATTCAACTCGCCCTAACAATAAGTCAAGTATACTTTTTTCCCATTTGTTTTATTAATCCTTGCAGTTACTCTGAGAAACATTTTTACATAAGAGGAAATTATGGATTGATGTACCCAGTTTGAGCAGTTTTACGCTCTTAAACCTAATGAAGTCCAATGTCTTCTTTTGTGTGCAACAACATCTATTTAAGACAAATAACAGAGTAGGAGAGGGGATGATAAGAACAAAGTCATACATATGAAAATGGCATGCAGAAACCCATTACTTGGAATGCTAACTTTAAAGTTAATAAAAAGGTCAAATAACAGAATTTTGTTTTATTATTCATGAAAATACACCTAGCTCTCTATGCATTTATACCTTTACCTTGAACAATTTTTAAACTAAAAAATTGGCTGGCTATGATGGCTCCTTTAACCCCAGCGCTCAGGAGGCAGGGGCAGGCAGATTTTTCTGAGTTTGATGCTAGCCTGGTCTACAGAGAGAGTTCCAGGACAGCCAAGGCTAAACAGAGAAACCCTATCTCAGGGGGGAAAAAAAATCTCTGTTATTATTAGCCTTCCACACTGCCTGCTGCATTGCCTGCTGCTAGAATCTGATAGATAGATAGATAGATAGATAGATAGATAGATAGATAGATAGATAGGCAGGCAGATAGAGGACAGAAAGAGGGGGCAAATTCTGTTCCAGGAAAAATCTGGACCCCTTCTGGAATTATGCATACCATTTTAACTCATGAATAATCTTCCTCTCCATTAAAGTGTGGGCATAAAATGAGTTATTCAAGATCCCTGAGGAGACTGTGCAGAAGCCCAGCTTCCTCTTGAATGCACCACTCCCTCCTGTCAGCTGTGCACCTACCAGACCCCTCCCTGCTTTACAGTCTGGTCAGGAGAAGGTGGAAGCACTGTGACTGTTACTCCAGACAGCTCCACACCAAGTGTGGGATACAGTAAGTCAGTGATTATACTGCTGTAGCTGAGAAATAGAGAAACATTCACACAAAACACTAGTGGACAGCACAGCTAATAAAAATGTTTCTAACTAAATTCGGTAACACTCACAGCCTCAGCGCTCAAGAGGCTGAAGCAGGAAGATACAAGTATCAAAAGTTCCAGGCCAGTCTGAGCTACAGGTGAAGACCTGGTCCATCCCCCCCATCTCACACCTAAGAAGAGAAAAACTATGTGTCTAACCATCCGTCACAACTGTAATTAGGACTGCACTATACAAGTTACTAGCTACTGTGACATTAGTTCCCTTAAAAAAAAAAAAAGTGCATTAATATTAGAGAAGACCAAACACTAAATATCTGTTTATGTTTAAAATTGACGAAAGTTTAAATTTCTACAACGGCTGTAATAAATATGCCGACAAATGATAGTAAAGCATTAAAAATGAATACTATAAATTTACTCAGTGGGTTCCTGTTTTGGTGTGTAGCACAATGAAGACACTGAAAACTAAAACGAATGCCATGGGGTTGGTTAAGAGTAGTTGCTGTACAAAAACATGAAAATTCCATCTTGAAACTCTAGTACCCACGTACAAAGTTGTACTAGGCGCACCTGCCTGCCAGTCACTGCGGCTTTGGGTGGGAAGGGAGACCCGGAAAATCCCAAACTATGAGCTTATCTAAGGTTCAGGAAGAGATCTCTTCTGGCATCCTCCCTTGGCCTTCAGCTGTGCACACCTCCCCACCCTGCACTACACACACAGAGGTACGGATAACACAATTAAAATCCACTACTGTGATTGCTTCACTAGCTTGTGTCAGAACATCTATTTCAATTAATTTATCTCATGTGCCTATGTGTACGTGTACATGAAGTGTGTGAGGCAGGCACACATGGCCCAGCATGCATGTGGAGAACGAGAGGAGAACTTGATGGAGCCGGTTCTCTTCTACCTTTATATGTAGGTTCTAGGAATAGAATTCAAGTCACCAGTCCTGCACTGCAAGCACCTTTATCTGCTGCAGAGCAGTGAAAGCTTTAAAAAGGTTTTAAAACCGCTTAAGAACTTAACAAAGTTTAGCATTTGCTGTTTTTCCAAGGAGTAAACACAGTGTCGATAGAATTGAAACACCCCCACACACACACCCCCAAGGCCCATGTTAAAAGGCTGTGAACTGGAGGCTGCCCCGCTGTTACATACCTTGACATAGATCACAGGGAGTGTTTGTTTGGCTCGACTGTAGTGTCTGGCCACTCTGTACACTGTTTCCGGAACGTAGTCCAGCACCAGGTTAAGGTAGACCTCATCTTTCTGTAAGGTTTTTAAGAATGAAAGAAAAAAAAGCAGATTAGAGACTGACCTTAAGCATTCAAATTAGAGCAATTCTCTATACATGCACTCACTGAGATTTTTAAAGAAAAGCTTCATATGGTTAACTCTAATCACACAAAGTTACTTTTGGACACAAGCAGGAGTGCCCAAGCGCATCTAGCATACTTTAGAATCCCAGTGTGGTCAGGGTCCTCATCACGTGCGTAGCAGGTGCTATGACAGCACATCATTTATCACAGTCTCATTATTATTTTCTAGCCTATCAAGGATGATGGCTTAAAGATGGTGTTGAGTCAAAAGCCAAGAACTCAGATTGCTGGCCCTGCTGCCAACTAGTGTATGTAAGTGACTCTCTGCCTTGGCTTCCGTTCAACCCACAGAAAAGGCTGAGCTAGGTATTCTTCGAAATGCTTTAGCCTCCACATAAACATTGTGTTTGCCTGACAAGACGAAAATTTATAGATCACTAATATGTGAAACAAAACTTATGGTAATGAGATCATATCCACAAGCTTATCAACTGGTCTCGAGTGTAAGTTTCTCTTTTTAGCAGCATAAAGGCAGGGGTTTAATGTCAGTCAAGAGAGAGAAAGGAGTTACAGCCAAATAGAAAAGAGGACACTGCATTAGCCACACTCTGGTCTCTGAGCAGCACCGGTTAGGTAAACTGAGGCAGAAAAGTGAAGGTAAGGATTACTGTTGGCTACTGAGCGCTGACACTGCGGGTGAATACTCACAATCCCACCTATCAAACCCAAGGGAAGGACTTCAGTGTCAGCATTTATGGTGCATGTCCTACAGGTCAAAGCTGCGACAGGAGGGGAGGGAGGGTGCAGGTACAAGTGTGACTCATTCCTTTAGTCAAACTAAGACCAGGTGTAGTTTCTTTTCTCACCTATTTAAGGGAAGTATGAGACCAACAGAGAGAGAACTGTATTCAAGCTATGAGTTCAAAGTACTCCACAGAGCTCAAGAAACCTTTTTGTTATCTTCCCCTTTGATGGTCTTCCTCCTTCCATAGCCAATTAGAATACTAAGGCTTGTCACTCTTACCAGCACAGGGCTAAGCAACAATGATAACAGCCTGCTGGTTAGCTTTATAAAGAAAGTTTAACTACAACACAGCTATACCCCATCAATTAAACACTGTCCTTTCCTATTTGGGGATTAAAATGATAGAGTCAAGTAGTTGTGACAGTGACTGGGTGACTTGCAAAACTTATTAAAGAAAAAACGTGTGTGCTTTTCATAACTCTGGTGTATTCAGCTTTATGCACGGTCCAGCTAAACTCAAAAGCAACAACGACTACAAAGAAACTTTAATTGTGTTGACTGACCTCATATTAAAATCATCGTCAATAAGTTAAGCTGGGGTTGAAATGAGGAGAGAGATAGATTCTATCTTGCTTTTAATACCTAAGGTCCCCATTAAGAATGTTGCATTTGGGTAATGGTGGGGCATGTCAGCACTGGCTTAAACCCAGTACCAGCCAGGTAGATCCAGAAGGATACCTGCAAGTTCTGATCTACAAAGTGAGTCCAGGACAGCCAGGGCTACACAGAGAGAGCCTGCCTTAAAAGGGGCGGGGGGGGGGGGGGGAGGGGGGGGGGGAAGGGGAGAGGACAAGGGCTGGAGAAATGGCTCAGTAATTAAGAGTAGTGTCTGCTCTTCCAGAGAATCTGGGTTCAATTCCAGCACCTACATGGCAGCTCACAACTGTCTGTAACTTCAAGTTCCAAGCTCACAAAGGAATACATGCAGGCAAAGCACCAATGCCCATTGAATGAATGAGATTTGGGGTTTAGGCTGAACGTGAAGGTGCATGCCTTTAATCCCAGGAGGTGGAGCTCTATAAGGCCAAGCCAGTCATGGATAAACAGTGAGCCCCTGACTTGAAAGGAGTGGGGGAAAATGAGAGGATACATGGTGGGGGTTCCTAGGCTCCAAAGTGAGCATAAAGCACAGAAGAGACAAAAAGAAGTTGATTTATTAATTCTGACCAAATAGCTCCTATGTTTGCTCTTACAAAACTTGTGAAAGAAAGGGGGAAAGCTGCCATGCATGACTCAAAGCAAGGCACTGCCAATGCAAAATCATGGTAGGGCTCCTTGTTCTGTATTTTTACTGGTTAAAAGAGATATAAACACCTTTGCATATTGAGAAGCTGGGATTAAAACTGTAAGGGAAAACTAGTGAAACAGGGTTCTAGCAGTACAGCAGTTCTCAGCCTGTGAGGTGTGGCTCCTACAGGTCAATCTGTGACAACGAAAATGCATCCTGAAATCAGACATTTACAGTACGAGTAACAGTAGCAACATTATAGTTATGAAGTAGCAACAAAAATAATTTTATGGTTGTGGTCACTACAACATGAGAAACTGTATGAAAGGGTTGCAGCATTAGAAAGGTTGAGGGCCACTGCTCTAGAACACTGTGAAGTGAAAACAAGAACACAGAGAGGTGTAACAAAACTTCAAAAGGCCCTGAAGTCTGAAACATTTTGAGAATCAACATGACATTACAAACAGGTAAATTCTATAAATCATCTCATAGGAAGGGCTGGTCACAGTCAGAACAGGTAGGTGGATAAGTAGGGTGGCATATGCTCTCCAGTTACTCAGGAGTAGAGTAGAGACTACTTGAATCCAGGACTTCCTCAAAAGAGAGAGAGATGCTCAGTGGTTAAGAGCACTTGTTCTTGGTTTTATTCCCAACCCCCACATGACCGCTCACAATTGTCTGTAACTGGTTCAAGGAGATGCAGTGACCTCTTCTGGCCTTCTCAAGTACCAAGCACGTAAGTGGTGCGCAGACATGCAAACAGGAAAAACACTCATATACATAAAATAAAATTTAAATTAAAAACCACAGAAAACTGAGCAAAAAATAAACACACCAGCAAACAACCACCACCACTATCAAAAAAAGCACAGAAAACACAGGTGTGGTGAAATTTGTATAAAATTAATGCCAGATTACATTTCTGAGGCATATGTGAAACTTAAATGCATTCTGTGTTTAGATTCAGAGGCCACTCTCAAAATATCACACAATGTAATAGACTAAAGTCATACAACTTCCAAAATCCAATAGTCCAGGGTCCCAAAGCTCAAATAAGAGAAATTCAACTTTGTAATTAGGACCCAGGCACAGTGGACCTCAGAAGTTAGAAGGATTAACACAGATATCAAAACCGTTACTTAGAAGATTGTACCTGTTTCTAAAATGTATTTGACAATGTTTATCATAACACACTTATGAGCAACCCAGAAATATGGATAACACTAGATTACAGCATTTGCTAATGAATCAACCTACGGAGGAGGAACACAAAAATGAAGGATGAGCAGGGTGTGGTGGTGCATGCCTGTAATCCCAGTGCCCTGGGAAGCAGAAGCAGACAGATCACTGTGAGTTCGAGGCCAGCATGGTCTACAAAGTGAGTCCAGTACAGCCAAGGCCACACAAGGAAACCCTACGTCAAAAAGCCAAAAAAGAAGGATGAAAGTAGAATGATCAATGGAGGCTTCTGGTTGTAAGGTTCCAAGCCTGTCCTTCAGAAATGTTGTTTGGATCTGGGCTTTTAATTGTTTATAATGTACTATTGGGATCTCAATCCACCTCCCAACCCCCAATGACTCATATACTAAACAGTACTGGGAGGTTCTGAAAACATTAGCAAGTAGACCAAGATGGAGGAAGCAGGTCACTGAGGAGAGTCTTTAAAGCATATGCTTCATCTCTGCTTCCTTGCAGGCCATTGCACATCATGCAATGCCTTTAGTCCATCTCCAAAAGTCTCCACTGCAGTAACACTTCTAACACTGTTCCAGGTTCCAAATCCAGCCTCCTGAGCCTCAGACCACAGTATGAGCAACAAGCCCTGTGAAATCAAAAGCAAATTCTATTCTCTTAATACACAATAGTGGGACAGGCAAAGGTTACAGTTCTGTCACAAAGGGGAAGAATAGCAGAAAACCAAACAAGGATGAGATTAAGTTTTAGCCCTAGGATATTTATGACCTCTCCTTCCATCATACCTCTCCACAATGGTATTTTCAGACTGTTAAAGGCCTTATCAAAACTAACAACCTGAAAAACCAGCTGACATTGTCAAAACCTCTTAAATTGAAATAATTTAAATTGTTTTCCTCATATATTTTTGTCATGCCAGTGTTTTGAGAGCTAACACCAGGTATGATTTCATTTATTAGAGGTTTGAAGAAGCAAACCTCCACAATGCCTACAATGGTTAAGTGACAAATGTAAAGGTATAGCCAGACTATGTAATACAAAGAGGAACAGTAGACTGTAAATCAGTGTATGACCTAACTGAGCGCATTCATAAACAATTCACAAAATGTGCTAACCCAATAAAAGCACGAGGAGGCAGATCCGACAGTCAGCCTGCAATCTCTCATTCTAACCACCCACGTAAAACGGACAACACTAACAAGAATGGCTTAGAATAGAAGACCGAGGATGGACTGAAAGGCCTCTAACAGGTCAAACTGACAATTTAACGAGGTAGAAAGCCTTATAATGAAAATTCAGAACATCAATATACAAAGACAGAGCAGACAAAATCAAGATCAAACTTGACAGTCATCTGGAAAGTAAAAGATAGGTATAACTAAACAGAACTGAGGAGGAATCAATGAGGTGTTTTCCTCATGAAACACATGAGACTCAGCAGAAGTGCTATGTTCAGACTGATACAGACAGCCCACTCTGCTCTGTACAGTCTAGGCCTCATTACAAATACTGACAAAAAAAAAAAAAAATCCCTTTCCTAGGCAGCAGTTTAACAAAGCAGTATGCATCAAAGGGAAGAAAATAAAATGTCGACTAGAGGGTCAATACTCCATTTATTATACTATAAGAAACATGGACACTTAAAAAATGTTTTTCTTACATTTAAATGTTTTAATATAAATAATCACAGTATTAACCCCTGAAGTGAGAGTATTCAATCCCA